GGTACGGTAAAAGGTATGGCATACCCACCGCCATAGCCTGATGTGCACCTCCCTAGAAATGTAACTGCATGTCGTGCCGACGCAGACCACAGCAACTGTGATTGGTCAGCTTGGTCACATGTCTTGTCCATGTATCTCAGTGGCCAGACAAGCACAGAAAGCTCATCCTCCCCCTGCCTCAATCAGTATACCATACATTACATTTACTTCGATGTGCTCTCTATTTTCTGCATTGCAGTATTTTCAGTAAAAGTAACTGTTGTTCAACATTACTAGCTTCAACTCCAACATGATATTTCAACTGCCATTGTTTGAAGTACACACACAGTGGTATAGAAACCCCACAGTCAAATAGAGTTTTGACGGTGTTATTGCAGAGCACTTTGTAATTCCACAATGCTACTGGGAAAATGTTTTGTGGACTGCACTATGTATGACGTACAAAGGGAACATCACACCATCATTAAAACATCATCCCAAAGGTGAAGTGCAGTGGAAGGAGGCATCATGATTTGGGGCTGCTTTGCTGCCTCTAGGCCTGGACAGCTGGACAGGGTGGTTGTCTACCCGTTGAAGCTCAGGAGAAGCTCGGTGATGCAGCAGAAACATGACCCTCAATATCCAAATGAATCTAATACAGACTGACTCAAAAACTGAGAAAAAAATCCACCTGGTGGAGTCAGAGCCCAGACCTTGACTTAGCAGAGATGCTGTGGAATGACCTGAAGAGAAATTTTCACACCAGACATCCCTGAGCTGAAGCAGCTCTATAAGGAAGAAAATTCCCCTCAAACATTGTGCTGGTCTGATCAGCAACTACTGTAAGCACTTGTTTTAGGTTATTGGTTAGATTGAGATCACATCACAGTTTATGAACAATTAATGCAGGAAACCTGGTAATTCCAAGGAGTTCACATACTGAATGCTGACATGCTTAGATTTCTCGCAGCAAATGACCACACATGAGAATCCCATTTTAAAGAGATCTCCATAAATGACACCTGTTTCTGAGTTTTTATTTTTTAGTAAGATCATGTGTGCATGTTTAATGTAACCCTTTACTTTTTTTAAGGCCTTGTTTTGCTTTTTCTGGATATTTATACAACCAATAACTCAGGGAAAGAGAAGGAGAGGGGGGTTGGGGGTGAGGTGGGGGGGGGGAGGGTTCGTGGTGGGGGTGGGGGGTGGGGGGGGCAACAACATGCGGCAAAGGTCCCTGTCTGGACTTGAACGGGGAACATCAGTGTTACATGGTACTCATGTTTTGTTCAGATTAAATGCAAATCAAATGACTGCCTCCATTTATTCATGCCAGTTGGAATGTTTGAGCGCAGTCTGTGCTTTTACAGCAACAACCGAGGGACATGTTCCCTAATCGACTGTATGGACATTTGCTGTAGCTACTGTACCGAACAACATGCACATCTGTGTGCGAGACACATTTCAAAACTTTTATTCTAACACTTTTAGTTTTGCTGCTGTTGCTGTACATTAGTGGAGTCGTACACCTCAGGATAGTCACTGATGTGTCTCTTTAGTCTTCATGGCAGATCACACCACCTGGATCAAATCTACCTGTTTGCATCCTTATATTAAGTTCTTATGCATTTGTGGCATCTCTAATTTTCATCTTGTGCTCAGTCTAAATTCCCCAACAGACAAATGGGCTTTCAGAATTTACCTAATATTCATTTCATTTTCATTCACCTTAATCACCTTTGTCTTCTCCTCACATTTTCTTACATTTTCTTACATTATGACAAGCTTCTGAATGTGGTGAATTTAGTCGATGTTATGGAGTTTTTGGTCAGATCACAGGGTCCTTATCTGCTGCTTGAGTTTGCTCAATTTCCATGGAACTGTAGAGATGGAAACTTTCCATGATTCCATTTCCATGACTTCTCATGTCGACTTAAAAGTTAAGACACATTCAGCTCCTTTCTTGATATTGGAAATATTTAAAAATCAACAGTCAGTTTGATAGTGGAGTAATCGCTTAATTTACTCCACCATATTAGGCAAACATTTTCTGATAACAGCTTCTCACTTGTGAGGATGTGCTTATTCATCTATTTTGAAAAATGACAAATTGCAAATTAAATTGGGCTCTGGGGACTTGTAATGGTTGTTTTGAATATTTTTTTTTTCATTTTTCCATGAATATATTCTCAATTTACATATAGATACACAACAGCTCACCTGATCATCACTGCATCACTCTCATATACCATCTTACATGCATGCCACATCTACACAACCTTGTCCGACCACCCCTACACAAAAGGGAAGATATAACAAAAGTAAACATAAGGTGCCTATTTTTTATCATCTATCTTTTGGGTACGTATATGTCACACCTACATGCACATACACAGACACAAACTTCCAGCATTTAAGATATGCATGCACAAATGCATCAAGCAGAGTCTGTACATGCACACTTATGGATTTGTAAATTTATAGATGTCTGTGGATTTACATCCAAAAGTAGTTTCACTGT